AAGCTTTCATAATCTACAGCAGCGTTGTACGTTTGTTATTAAATTGATACATGAAAGTGCAGATAATGCCGGATTAAAGCACATGCGTGAAACGTTAATTCATTATAAAAGCTGCAGCGTTGTAAATAGTAAATGTGGGGTTGTAAATATTACATTAGGAGAAAAAAAATTAAACATTTTTAGTGCAACAAAATATTTCGATAATATTCTCAAACTGACAAATCCTTTGATAGAAAGATTCATAAATTTCCCAACTGTGATTGTCAACTGGTTTTGCGATCTCATAATCAATAACAAGATAATCCAGTTGTCTTAAAATCTGCATTGGTACCAGCGGGAATCGCATCTAGCGTCTTCGATCGCTTTACTTTATACATATATTGAGAATTAAGAAGAGGGCAAAATCAGCAGCTAACTTGTTAATAATTGAACACATCAGGTGTTAACGCTAACCTTAGAGCTTAAGTATTCTCCAGCGAAACAAAACATGAATACTTCAGTATTCATTACAAAGTAAAGTCCAAGAGACTTCATTATAATCGTAGCAGCAGCGGGCTTTCCAGTTGAATAGGATATTTAAAATAACACTTTGTGACAGTGGCAATATTAAAATAATTTATAACAAGTCCTCGGACATAAGTTAAATTAGTTATTCCTTCACTTGAACCTTACATTACAATTTCTTTTTATTGAATTGTTCGTCTTTCATATAGTTAAATATTTCTCATAATATTTATCATAATTACTTACAGTAATGAGTAGAAAACCGATGCAACAAATAATCAAAGTATCTGACACAAATAAAATCAACGCAATGTCGGAATATAAAGTTTTAATATTTTTCGAAAAGATAATAATATTCTGATGTTTCTCAGTTAATTTCCTTATCATTTTCAGGCTGATTCGGTATCCGTTTTCCTTTGAAATGACTTCCGTCGGTCATTTACCGAGAGCCTCGATTTGGCCGGCTAAATGCAGTGCCTGAAAGATTTGGAAAGCATGATTTCATCTTGATCTTTTGTAATCGCAGTAATTACGCAATAACATCACGTTGCATTAGTTGATGTGGATTTGACAAGTGAGAAATTTTTTAACAATTTTATCTGACTTACCAGGACAATAAGAAGAGCATTTAGCATGACAACAGCGCAACCACAAAGCACTGTACGAAAAAATTGTGCGACTAACGCCCATTCATAAACGAAACGTGTATCACCATTGAACGGGAAGTCCATCTTTAGAATGAGCGGTCGCATGGATATGTCAGTCTCGTCTAAGTTACTTGTGTTAAAGATGAAAACGCTATCACTGTGTAACGTTCTGGCTATCGAATAGATTCCAAAGACGAAATTAGCGAAATTATGCGACAGAATGGCTTTGCTTATTGTCACGCGTGTATTAAAATCGGTACTACTATTTTTTTTCCAGTCCGCCGCCATCATTACCAGTGTTTTATCGAATATGTTCTACGGTTTTACGAATTATCACAATAATAATTAAAAAGAATGTGAATTTTCTAGAGCTACGTGCGTGCTAGAGTTTGTATAGTATTATGGTGTTGAATGTGCATATTATACACAAAAAAGTGTCAAATTAACACTTGTATTCAAATTAATGTGTTTATTGTTTTGTATATAGTATGTAGCAATCCATAATCTTCTCTACGAAGCATTTAATAATCTTACATTCCAGCAATATTACCCCGCGCGTCTTTTCCGCGTTCCCGCATGTCCGCGCGTCTTTTCCGCGTTTCCGCGTCCCCGCGTCCCCGCACGTCTTTTCCGCGTTTCCGCATCCCCGCGCGTCTTTTCCGCGTTTCCGCATCCCCGCGCGTCTTTTCCGCGTTTCCGCATGTCCGCGCGTCTTTTCCGCGTTTCCGCGTCCCCGCGCGTCTCTTCCGCGTTTACGCGTCCCCGCGCGTCTTTTCCGCGTTTCCGCGTCTCCGCACGTCTTTTCCGCGTTTCCGCGTCTCTGCGCGTATTTTTCGCGTCTTTTCTGCATTTCCGCATCTCCGCACGTCTTTTCCGCGTTTCCGCGTCTTTGCGCGTATTTTCCGCGTCTTTTCCGCATTTCCGCATGTCCGCGCGTCTTTTCCGCGTTTCCGCGTCCCCGCGCATCTTTTCCGCGTCTACGCGTCCCCGCGCGTCTTTTCCGCGTTTCCGCATGTCTGAATTTTCACGTAATTTTTATCACCTAAAAAACTTACCTTCTTAAAAAAAGGTAAAAGAAAGCGCCAAGTATAAGCTCCAACGACTGAATATATTTTCTTACTCTATCTTTTTTGCATCTCTACAAAAATATCTTCACTACAAAACTATTTTCTCTACAAAAGTAATGATATCATTAAATGGCGCCAACTAAACTAAATAGTTTTAAACGTGGTGGGGCGATGATTGGAGTTGGGGCATGCCCGCCGGCTGGGCGCCCGCGGACGCCCGTTGCCCGCGGTTTAGACAATCTTTACAAAAATATCTTCACTACAAAACTATCTTCTCTACAAAAGTAATGTTGATATTACAGCGATCATTTCATTGCCAGCAGTACCGATAGATACGATCCTGAAGCCTTTATGATCTGTAACAATATTATTGCTCTTATTAATAATAAAAAATGTATGTATATTAATATGACATGTTCATGCAAAACATTTTATACGATAAAAAATCTGCCTTGGACGATAATATTATTATTATTTGTTTTAACAAATAACGAAAACGTTATGACGAAAGTATAGGTAACTATATAATTAAACATAAAACTTTCAG